CTACTGGCAAACAATCTTCCCTTGTTCATAACTTTTCAGCCTCCCTACCCCCTCCTTTTCTGGAGGGTACAGATAGGAAATCCGAAGGAGGAGTTTCTCTGCTCCCAGTGTGTTCATGGTGACATCATAGGTGGGCTGAACGTCTAAGTCGAGTGTGTGTTTGTTTAAAAAAAACTGTCCAAAAGTGATGTATATGGAATCTGGGTCAGCTGTAGCTGGTTAGTGCACTTCTGCATGTGAGAGTTGCAGTCTCTAAAAAACTTGTTTCTGTCTACTGGAATAAAACACGCTGGAACATTACTCTTTTTTTTAAGATTAGTTAGCTTTGTTATCGTATGGAGAAACCCAATTCCTCAACACAGTTTGGATCTAACAGAGAAAGGCAAAAGCAGTTTTCAACTCCAACTGCAGAATAACAATCCACAGCATCGGGTAATATAGGAAGAAAAAGTAACTCGGCCTCTGGATTTTCCATCTACCACAGAAGCAAAACAGCTGGAAGCTTTTTTCTTGGTAAGTTTTAAAGTTATTCATACTTGCAAGCCTAAAGCTGAGCTGTTTGTGAATTGTATATAAATCTACTATCCATATACAATTGTGAATAGATAAATCTCCCTTGGCCAGAGAAGAGTTTGACAACTAAAATATAAACCACACTTTTGTGGCATTTGCTAGACCTGGGAAACTTGGAAAGAATTAAAAAGGACTCTGCACTAGAACAGAGCTTAAATCATTCCAGTTGTAAGGATGAACAAATTCCAGTTGTTTAGCTTTAAGACTTCTGTAGATTTTGTTACATACAGTTACAGAAAATTAATACTACTAGATTCTTTCCTAATGTGTAATCTGAGTACTCTGAACATATTAATGTGAAATTCTGATCCTACCAAAAAGCAAAAGCCAAAAATCCCATTGATTTCAGGGCAGCTGGATTTCACCCAACACAAGAGCATAAACCTAGCATTACTAGAGCTAGAAAATGGATACCTCAATAAAACCACTGTGAAAAAATCACAAGTAAATCAATGCACATCTATAACTAACATTGTATATAGTTTCAACTAAGCTATTATTCACGGTGCTTTTGAACAGTAAAAGCAGTCTGAGTTGTACAACCAAGAAACCTGAGTCATACATTGATTCAGAATATAATCAAGTTTGTAGCACAAACAATTGTGCAGCTGAAAATCCAAAAGCATTGCTGCAACAGGCACTAATCCCTTCCTTTAACAATTTGTGGAAGGATAGGGAAGTTAACTGTACCTCAGTGGAGCAGCAGTTTCTTTCTAAATAAAGATTCATTTCATGAACATGAAAAGCAACACTATTAAGTGGAAAATAGAGGGTTTTGTTACAGTCTCTTCTTTGGGGGAAATGAAGGGGAAGGATGCAGTTTCAAGTCAAGGATTAGAACAAGAAAACTGTTTACAAACAGAAGATGAAAGTACAGAAAAAAACCTCCTAATACAGAATATTCTAGGGTTTTTTCTCTCTATGCTGACTTGGAAATTAAAATACTGTAAATAATCCAGAACAATGGAAAAAAAAATAAGTAATGTATTGTATTTACAAATGCTCAGATATGCCCAACACATTAAGAGAAAACGAAGGGAGAAGAAACAAAGTGTTACAAAAGGCCAGACTTAATGTTTAGTGGCTGTGGGAGGAAAAGTCTAAAGCAGTCTTGAGAAACAAGAAAGATGGATCCCTTCCAAGTTCTTGAGCCCTTTTTCTTACTATCTTTTTTGTGCTTTACATTTTAAAGAGAATAACCTAAACAGCAACAAAAAAACTCAGTCTCCATTCATTCACGATTAGCCAAGGTTTTGATTTATGCTGCTTAGAACAATTCCTAAATCTTTCACAAATGAACACAGCTGAGTCAATAATTTTCAAGTAACAAACTGGCTACACGCAAGGTTTTAACTATTTGTTGCTGTCTTCCAACTTAGGAGTTCAAATTTTGAAATGCTTGTTTTAAACAAATAATGCACTGCTGATTTTATGAAGGTACCACAAGAATGATCTGATACAAAAATGTCAATTAACATTATACATTAATTCACTTCAAAGACTGTAAATCTTAAAGTTATGTATATGCTGGCAGAATTCTAATTAGGCTTTCATCATTGTTTTAATGAGCTTAGTTTGTTCATAACATGCTCTATTAGTCTGGTCCTTAAAATTTATACACTGATGAAAGACAAAAGACTGTTAGATGCTTCAAATCTTCTGTGGCTGTTTTACAAAGAATTCTGGAGCACCAAAATCACACATTTCCAAGTGCAATATGTGCCACCCCATTGTGCCTACCTGTTAAAATGGTGCAAACAAACATCGTGGCTGAAAATAAAGGTAAAGGAAACTCCACGAAAAAAACACTACAGAAAAAAACCTGGAAATGTGATAGTTTCAGAACATCAAGTATGGCAAGATTAAGAAAACTCTTCTGCAGAGAATTTCTAAGAATCTATCATTTTTAGAAATGACACATTTTCAATGACTGCTTAAAAAACTTCTGAAGATTTTTAGATTGCCTTTCTAAAAAGAATCAGATTCCATTCATCTCAGAGAAGCAGAATTCTGTGACTCAATACATCATATGTCTGACTAACAAAAACCAAGATTCTATTATTCCTGGATCCCAGTCAATACAATTGAAAGTAATTCTGTTATTTCAGCAAAGGCAGACTGACCTACTGGAAAAGAATTTGTTTATATAGGAGAAAGTAATTCATAGCAGTATAAAGATATATCAAGATCCATGTTAATATTTCTCCTATAACACTTCTATAAGGAAGTGTTTTCATTATAATAGTATTACTTCTAATGTTATGGAGCCAGTTTTAAGTTTAAAACCTCTCACAAAAATCCCCACTTCCCCACTGACAGGAGACTATGGATGATTTTATTGATTTCAGCTGCTTAGACAAAGCTTAACAGAAAATGAAGTATGCATAACATCAATAAGAGCTTTCAGATTAGCTGTTACCAGGTTCAGAGGATTTTTATTCTCTGAATTCTTAATTTCCTCAAAAAAGCTCATTTATCTTCCTGTTTTACATGTTTTTAAATTAAGGTTTATAAGAGAAAGCACCATTGGTATTTTTAATTTGACCATATTCTTTCAATATTCTCAAAGATACATATTGGTACTGCACTTTCCATACAAAGGAAATCCTACATTCACATTTACCTGCAACACTTCCCTTGCATTCAGTCCTAACAACCTACACTGCCCAGTCTTCACCAGCTCCGAAAGAACAGATTTTAATTTGCATTGAGGGTCTCCAATTTCTACATCCTGCCCAATGAAAGAGTCACAGCAGTACAACAAAGAACAGTTCACTGCATAGAAAAGTTTAAAAAAGCCAAACATATACTAGCTTCCACACTTCCTCATCCCTGCAACTCTAATACTTTTAAATAATAAAACATTTTTGGGGGTAACAGCCCATGCTACAGTAGCTTCTCAGTGAAAGGTAAAAATACTAGTTACTGGTTTATTTTGCTCTTAAATTGGATTTTTGTTGCTTTAAATACTCTAAAAAGTAATAAATCAAAGACTAATTTTGGAAATGAGGGTGGGGTTTTTTTTTTGCATAAGGATCAGGCTGAAAAAAGAAACGAGAAGAATGGCATTCAATGTAAAACGGTATTGAAGCCCCATCCACAACTCTGAGTATTTCTGACAAGATGATGATGAAGCTTTGAGTTACTATGAATAGCTGCACATTTTCTCCTGCAGAAGCAATAAAATATCAGCATGCCAGAACATACGTAATGCCACTTCTACAGAAACTTGAGACCCAAATCTGGGTGATGTGGAAACATGACAGAACCAAGTAAAATGACAGCCTATTCTAATTTTAAAAACATGACAGTCATAAAGAGTTAATTAATCTATTTTAAAGCAAGAGCATCTGTGACAACCATCTCTCTTGCTTTTATTCCAAGGTTTGTGTTCAAGGTATTTCAGCAGCCCCACTCACTATAAGCAACTCTAGACTTGCAGGAAGGGTTTGAGACTGGCTCTGTCTGAACTGATCCCTCAGCCTCAACCACTTCATCTTGTAACAGATATGACAGCCCCTCAACAGCTAAACCTAGCACCCTATGACCATATGTCTGACTAAAAAAAACCCTATTAAAACACCCCCAGTTTCCCAACTCTTTGTCACTTTCAGGTCTTACATATTAGGCTATCACTCTGCAATATTTTGGATAAACAGCTGCTATTTTTTTAAGCTGCTTGCCCAGAACATCAGGAAATTTCTCAAACAGTATTTCATTTCCTTCTAAGCTGATTAAAACTCCAGGTAAATATCTTACTTAGAACCTATTATTGTATAACAAGTCAGGCATTAAGCTGCTCAAACATGCCAAGCAACATCATAATAACATGTAACTTTATCAACAAAATTTCCATGGAAGCAGACATATTCCCTACCAGGTAGATTCTCAGAAGGAACTGATCCATGCTTATCTGAATGTCTCAGTTTCATACAAGACATCTGAATTATTTCAAAGTTTCAGGGCATAATCTTATCCAGCTGTTGCATTGGGTTATGCTCTGTTATACCATTTAATTAATTTTATGGCCTGACTGCACATATAAAACCAGAACTTCTAACTTTAACACCTAAACATAAATGTTCAAAATTAACACATAGAATATTAAAAGAAATGTGGAAAGCAGACTGCAGCAGAATACATGGTTGAAAAGTGGACTGGCATTGCAAAATGCTTGGTTTTCAAAGATCCATTTCAGTTTTAATGTATTTCAGGGGAAAAATATGCTGCTGTGGCGAAAACCCCCAGTCATTCATTACTTAAGTAACTGTATAGGTCCTCCAAAAACTACTAAGAACTAAAGTGTAATTCACCTTTTTGGACTATATTATATACTGTGAAAACAGTAAAATCCTGGACTTCTGCTATGGCTTCATCCTTAACCATATGCCATAAAGTCACTTTGTCTACATCTGCTAACACGGAATATGAAGTACTGAATAAAAATTTAGGAGATGTCACGAGGTTTCAAACTTCAGACTATGAGTTCAGCTCATCCTTGTCATGTTCTAATGCACACACAGACCTGCTCCTCCCACGTGTTTACCAAAATTCATGTGAAAATTTACCTAACGAACTTCCAACTCTGAGTACTGTTCAAGTGATTAATACTTTAAAATGTCTGAAATTACTAAAGAAAAATACACAACTAGCTCTAAAGAAAAGTTACATTTTTTCCTCCTTTTTTTTTTTTTTTTTTTTTTTTTTTTTTTTTTTTTTTTTTTTTTTTTTAAACAGAAATTACACTTTGAAAGGAGAAATATTAACCAAACATTTAACCAAGTTCTGGTTTTGAAAAAAACACTTACTAGTAGACACTGAAATTCTTATTACTACATACTAACAGTGATACATACAGAAATAGCTTATAAAATATATACATTCTTAAACATATATATTCCCTGTGTAAATGTAGGGTAAGAAATTATTTTCACGATTTGCTAAAAGCAAGTGTTTTCTACCCCTCCCAGAAGCAGGGCTTGAAATACAACTGTCAGTCAAACAAAAAGTTACTTTTTATAAGCAGTGGAACATCTTAGGAAGATTCCTAGATACAATTCCTGGCTGCATATACAGCATTGTTTGAAGTTTATAACCACTGCTCCTAGTGAAGCCAAAAAATAAAGACTTGATATGTTTACTCTGAGTTTGAGGAGACATAATTTGCAGCAATAATATTTAAGCCTGTAACAGAACTGGGAGAAGTAACCTGACACAAGTCACCTTACGTTTTGTAAATGTGAACTTAAAGGGAGTAGGTCTGGTCTGCTTCTCCTTCAGGGTGATTGTTTCAGGATTGCCAAATGCACTTAAACTCAAACTTGGCAGGAATACCAAGAAAATTATTAACTTTCTCTGGTTTTACTTTATTTCTCTTTGTAACTATACAAAGGCCACTGTACAAGGCCTTGTACAACCCCAAACTGCAGTCTGGAAAACCAGATGAACAGCTGAGACAGGGAAGACTGATCTTCCTGACAAAGCAAATTGACAAAACATGAAAAATGAGGTTTTTCCCCCCTGATTTAAGTGCTACCTTTATAATCTCAAATATTTAAAAAATAAATTAAAAAAAAAAACAGATCTCTGAAAACAGTCCTGGATTTTCATCACTGCATTTTAATATTTTACACAAGGTTAAAAGAAATAAGTTATTTTATTTGAAAGGTGAATTAAACATTTAACTATGTTAAGCTAAACTCCTGCCTAACACTAATGCCCAAAATTAGTGTTTGATATGTCAGCATTTTTCAAGTCAATTACATCTGTGTACATATAAATCTGAAAAACATGTAGGAACATGTACACTATTTAACAAATTATATACCTACACATCTAGAAAGCTAAAAGATGACTGGAAAAGCTTATGTAACCCAAATTCCTAAAGTTATACAAATATTTTTGAAAATACAATCAGCCATCACACTATCTCCCAACTTCCATTAAGATATTCTGCAAGCACTCTGCGTTCTATAACCTTGCAAATTTAATTGCAGTGAGTACACCTCTAAAACAGTCCAATTTATAGTAAGAGCACAATACATAATCTAAGCGGAACATAGTTTCTGAAAGTTTATCCACTGCAATAACAATTTCTTTGCTAAATCCAAACCCTAAATTTTAGGGTTTGCTGTTCAAAATAGAAAGCTGTTCTTTGAAGCTCATCTAATGGAATCTAATTCCAAGTTACAGATTCCAAAGACTTGTCTACATGCATGGCAAATTCGTCATTTTAGGCAATTTTAGCAGTACAGGAGCCTTAGTTATGGCTCTAATTGAATTATTTTATCTTTTATCCATTCAGTAGTCTCTCCTGACAGTCATCACACTTGCTTCAAAATGAAGATATTTAAATGGACTTTGGGTGTACTGTTGTTCCTGCTGTTGTCTATTGGGCGCTGTACAGAACCATCCACAACCAATAAAACATCCCAACGCAGGTACCCTCGTTCAGCAGAGGGGGGAGGGGAAGGGAAGAAATGTGGCTACACATTCTTGGTCCCAGAACAGAAAATCACAGGGCCAATTTGTGTGAATACTAATGCACCAAGTACTGGTAACAGAAAAGATGAAGTCACCAGAATGGACATAGAGAACTTGAAGGACGTCCTGTCCAAGCAAAAGCGGGAGATCGATATTTTGCAGTTGGTGGTGGATGTGGACGGAAACATTGTGAATGAAGTGAAATTACTGAGGAAAGAAAGTCGTAACATGAACTCTCGGGTCACCCAACTCTATATGCAACTCTTGCACGAGATAATTCGAAAGCGTGATAACTCCCTGGAGCTTTCCCAACTGGAAAACAAAGTCCTCAACGTTACAACGGAAATGTTGAAAATGGCGACAAAATACAAGGAGCTTGAAGTAAAATATGCAGCACTAACTGACCTTGTAAATAATCAGTCTGTGACCATCTCGCTGCTGGAAGAGCAGTGCTTGAGAATCTTCTCACGACAGGACACCCACGGGTCTCCACCTCTAGTTCAAGTTGTGCCCCAGCACATTCCTAACAGCCAGCCATACACGCCAGTTCTGCTGGGAGGTAACGAGATACAGCGAGACCCGGGCTACCCCCGAGACAGGGATGTAAGGCCACCACCTGATCCAGCTACTTCTCCTACAAAGAGTCCTTTCAGAGTACCACCACTAGCTTTAATCAATGAGGGTGAGTTACCTATCATTATTTATCTAATCTGAGATTTCTCTGTTTCAGAGGGACACCATCCTGGCTATAGCCATAGAATGAAGAACTTAAACTATCTGATACAGCTGACCCTTGCTCCAGACTGACTTTCCTCACCCCCTTGGCTCAAAGAAAGCTTTAAATTGTAGAATAGTCTAATTTTTAAGCTATAGCTGCATAAGAGGAATTTGTTGAAATAGCTGGTAGTCAGAAATTGAATCAGAAAAATTTACGCCTTGGAGTCACAAAGTACAGGGTTTTCTGTCTCCAGCTGGGTTTGAGTTATGTGAATGAAAATTCTGTATTAGCATATACTTGCTAATATTTAGCCCTGTTTATCTGAAGATGCCTACTAGCTAATATGTCACAGTAACCAATGGTGAATAAGAGAAGCTAATTCAGCTTAAATAAATGAAGTAATTTAAAGCAGTTGTCCTCTATACTTGCACATATACATTTACCAAAGTTAATCCTGCTAGAAGAATTTTACTGTATTCTGAGCTGCTTTAAAATTAACATCTAAATTCACCAACAGATTTGTGCAGTAAGTCTCGTTCAGTTTGAAATACTCAAGAGAGTAAGGTAAGTCTGAAAGGATAATTGACTCAAGCCTGGATCCAATTAGATGCACTCAGCTTGGAATATTTCAGACTTGTAACTGCATTCCCAATAATTTGAGTCAGTAGGGGATGGCAAGGAAAAGTAAAATACTTTAAGTATTATTAAAATACATTTGGGAGATTCTATCACATCTTTATGTATTACATTCTTCAGATCATTAGATAAATCCATTTATCACTAGAAACCAAACTAGTATCAAGACAATTAATTCTGAGCTGCCCTGCATTCCATCACAATTCTCACGTTATTGAAATGTTGACAAAATTGCAAATGAAAACAATAGATTCTGAAATACAAGTTATTTTGCATATATCCATTCAAGCACTTGCTTTTGGCTCCTGTTAGCCTGCACAGCAATAAGATATGGTTTGGTTATTCTTTTTGTTTGGGTTGTAACTTGTTGGGTTTTTCTGCTTTCCAATTGCCTTTAGTCACAGCTGGAAGTTCAACTTGGTTCCTAAGATGAAGACAAACATTTATTTGTGACTGTTGCACAGCATTACAAACAACCAGTCACTCATGTAAAGAGCAACTATTTTTATTCAGGGTCTGCAGAAAATTCAGGCACAAGTCCAAGTAAAATGCCAGATGTCATGAGAATTTAAATTGCACCTCATGACACAAAGGAAACAGCTAATAGAAAAGCCTTACGTTCATGTCTGGTCAGATAGCAAAAGTATCATTCTAAAAAAGAGCAACTTCCTGCTTCCCAGAAAACCCATGCTTCAAGGTTTTGCCACAAATATATCTTTTTCTCTCTTAATATACACTTGCTGTACATACAAAACAAGCGACAGCACTAAATCTTTTCTTCTGAATTCTCTACCATGATTTTCACTAGACTCTCCACTAAAAGTTCAAGTTTGTAACCATTTTTGCAAGGGAACACAAAGAAACCCTCGGAAACTTAGTTTAAATATTATAACAAGTTGAATAATGTTAAGTGCTTCTTGCAGTGCCTTGGGAAAATGAGGGTTGAGAATTGCTACAGCTGGTAGAGCATCAATCATAAAACAAAAAATCTTCTAAATTGTAACAATGCCCAGTTACTATCTGATTTTTTTAAATTAAGGTCAGCATAATTATTGGTGCACGGAATGAAAACTATGTCACAGAAAAATGACCTTTCCAGTTAACAGATGATGACTACTTATAATGAATGGACAGAGATGTCAAAAAAGACCAGGTCCCATTTAGAAACAGGCCTGTCAAAGACTTGGTTATGATAGAACAAACAACTGGGTAAGAAGACAGGAGCTTTCTCCCACTGCACCTCAAGAAGTCATAGCTAAGAAACACTTGCACGCAGCATCAGTTTACAGAAGGGTCAACATGCATCTTAATATTGTGGGTAGAGAGTCAAATTCAAAATATATGGAGAGCAGAGGGATGAGAATATTTTGAGCAATATTTTAATTTGCATTAAAATTGCTCTACAAATAGTGAAAGAATAATGTTCCTGTGAATTACAGTTTTCATAATTATCTTACTCCTTAGAATATCTACAAGTATCCCCAAATTTTACTGCCACTGTGTTGCAGAAAGTACCTTCAAGTACACAGAAATACTTGCAAGTTACATATACATACCCACACTTCACTCTGGTGCCAATAACTCTCAGCTAACCAAGTATCTTTTTCTTTTTAATACATATCCTAATTTTTTTTTAGCATTTTCTTCTATGATTGCCCAAAAAATGCTCTAGGAACCTTACACAAGCAAAGCTTCCATATCATCCCCTCAAGGTAACATTCAGCATCTTAAAAGAGGATGCAACCATCATTTTATTAAACTTCCAACTTAAAATATTTCATCACTTTCCTTCTCTACTACATCTGACTTAGGACGTGACCCGTATTAAATCATGCATCTAAACCACAATTATGTAATAGATGATCTTGCCAGAGTATTTCTAACTTAACTATCTCAACAACTTAGTGTACACAGACTAGATACATGAGATACTTATGCCTTTCACAGAGAACAAGATTTTAATGAGAATAATTATGATTTTTTCATCTGCCAGAGCCTCCATGCACACCAGCACTGTGCAGAATCTTAAACTGTTTCACAAATCTCAGCATTTCCACTCAACGATAAATTGATCAGTTCTTAGACGGTGACCTTAAAGTAACTTAACACGAAGAATTTACTTAGAAAAAAATATATTAAAAAAAATCAAGACTATACACCAAAAAGTCACAGAATTTGTTGGATTTCCTTACACTATGAGCAGGAGTCTGTTATCGCTACCACAATACATACTACTTATAATAAACACACAGACATATCTGAACAGCAAAGAGCACAGAAGTTGTGTTCTGTGACCTCAACAGTGGCTGAATTTCAGAAGTGTTCAAAGTGCATTATATAAACAGATGACTACAATTCCGTCTGCCTTAAAGGATACTTTAAATTACCCCCAAAATCTGCTCTCATGAAAAAATGCATCCTCAATTTGTCCTCCAATAGAAATAATGTGAAATAATATACAGCAGATCTAACTGAGCTACTCTCAATCATGGAATCACAGAATGAGTTAAGGTTGGAAAGAACCTTAACGATCATCAGGCTCCAACCCCCCTGCTATCAGCAGGGACACCTCCCACCAGATGAGGCTGCACAAGCCTCATCCAATGTGTCCTTCAACACTTCCAGGGAGAGGACATCAAAAACCGCCTTACCACTATCATGGGGTACATATATAAAATACTGCTTGTCTGTTTACCCTTTTCCTTATGCAATAATTGCTTTACTTCTAGAACCACCTCTCTGTTCAGTTATACACCACCAAAATTTCCTGTAGACAGCTGAAGGAAAGGCAATGAGACTCAATCTAGTCCAGGAAATAACCTATCAACTGGACAAACTTTGACATGAGCACAATCTATGTGTAAATTTTAATTATGAACAAGAGAAAAACGCACTCATATACCAAAGCTATCCTATTTTTTTCCTAAGCTATTATTACAGGCACTACAAGAATAACAAAAACATCATCAAACACTGACAACACAGGACGCAGCAGGACTTACAATGATGGCTCCATGTCTGCAGAATGCTTGTTAGCACTCTCACAGAAAGCACCAAGTAGTCACCTTCATTAGACAAGCTTTTGGCACTCTAATGTGAAATGCTTTATGGATTTCCTGCTAATTACACACTTACCCAACTGGCAACAACTACCGTAAAATCTAAAAACAAAAGCAACTTGCAACAAGCTTTTCTGCCACAACCTTAATCTGCAAGGAAGGTCATGTTCACTCAACCTTCACTTTTGATTAAAAAAATAACCTCAACCACTGTCTTTTATGCTTCTCTGCACACTAGCTTCTTCTGTGACTGATGAGCTTTCTCTGAACTTCTAAGCAGGTTTGAGAAAAGAGCCTTCTAAAAAAAGAGAAAGCTGCAGGTAATTAATTTTCAGGCTTACCAAGTATGAGTTTTCAAATACATTTATAGCATTTCTGTAGAATCACAGCTCTGAAAACAAGCAATTCCTTCCAGCTGCTTAAAAATCCTTCTCCACTGCTTGCATATTTTCTTCATTAGTATCCATCTACACATTTCACGCTAGGATGACACAGGAAAGTTAAACACTCCAGGCTGATCCCAGAACTGGATGAGTACATAAAAGCAAAAGTTAGGCAGCATAAAAATACTCTTCTACTAAATTCCATGTCAGTAGATTCTGGCAGTAAAGATTTCCTAAAGCAGATCTCAAACTATTTTTATATTTGAGGGGGGCACTGTTTGTGTCTTGGGTGTGCACTAGAACAATTCAGTAAATCAACATCTACTTTTTACAAAAGTGGTACACAAGAAAATAGTTAATGAAAATCTTTCCATGCTACTTGAACATCAGGAGTCAGAGTATAAATCTTTGACACAGTAGACAAAGTTAAAAATTGGGTGTTGGTAACCCAAGTCTATTATAGGTTTAGGAAAATGAAGTCTTTGTATAAAATATATATATAGAGGATGTTAAGATGTGTACTTATTTATACAATTAATCTAAGAGAGTAGCTTTTTACACTGTTTTCCATAGCAGTTTACCTTAACAGAATTACTGACTTTCCATTACCATTACAAAATATTCTTGAACAATGTGCACTGCAGAGCCAAGCCTGAATGCTGACAGCATTTCTTTTCAAAAAGGTCCATTCAAAGACTGCCAACAAGCCAAGGAAGCTGGGCATTCCAACAGTGGGATTTATATGATCAAACCTGAAAATAGTAATGAGCCGATGCAACTATGGTGTGAGAACAGCCTGGACCCTGGAGGATGGGCAGTTATTCAGAAGAGGACAGATGGATCTGTCAACTTCTTCAGGAACTGGGACAGTTACAAGGTAAATTCTAGAATGCAGAAAACCAGCTGCTTGATTTCAGTGAAGGAGTGACATGAGCTATTGCAATCAAGATGGGGTGAACCTTTCCAATACAATTCTTCATTGCAAAAGGTTGTACTAAATGATAAACAGGAGCTGGAAACAGCTGCTGAAGTTACACAATGGAAGTAATTTTACAAAGATAATTCAAAAGAATGGTCATCCCTCAGAAGCACATGTATTTCAGTGGGAATGAGTAATTTTACAAAGATAATTGAGAAGAATGGTCAGCCCTCAGAAGCACATGTATTTCAGTGGGAATGTTCTATTTCTCTCAATGCATTACTTAACTTTGTATGAACTAATTTATTGTCTGAAATAGCCTCATTATTTCTATTAACACATTGGGAACTACAGTAAGTACTTGAAAAGCTTGTCTGCCTTACAAATAAGCAATTTCAGCCAGTGGAATTATTCATTTAAGCACATTAAGACACATTACATCTGCAAGATCAACATATATACATTCTTAATTAAATGAAATAATTTCTACCTTTAAAATTAGGTTAAAAATCTGTGGATGTAGGAGTGGTGAAGGGAAACACATTGTGTTTTATTGTGATATTATGATAATACATAGGATGACAAACACATGCTGCTTTAGAGGTAATTACATGCTAGAGAGGAAATTTGAAAATCCATTCTGTTGAGTTTTTTCAATAATAACTGTATGACTTTACACAGAAAGGACAGTTTTTCCTATGATGCTGTGCCCACTTTAAAAGAATTTACCATTGCCATGTGCATATTAGCTGAGGAGATAACTAAGCCACATGTAAGTCAATTATCAATTTAAAAATATATACACAAAGGAAATTACAAAAAATTACTGTATTTTCACTCTGTGTTCTTGGAATTTAATAATTCAGTTATTAATCATCTCTCTTTAAACATTCAAAGTCTTCTCAGACAAATGGGTTGTTATTTTCTGGTTTTGGTGGGGTTTTTATTTTTTGGGGCTTTTTGGTGTCTTTTTAAATATGTTGTAAGTTTGCTACTGAGTGTCTTACATAGTGACTGTAAACATTTTTAACATAATGCAAAGAAAATATAGAAAAGTATACAAATGATGTTTAATAATGGCTCAGTCTTGAGCAAAACCTTCCTCTGAAGAGATTTCTCATTAAATTGCAGTGGCTGAAGATTGTATTATCACCTAACTTTAAGTGCTTGAAGGTGCTTCCCTGTGACTAGCTTTAAACTAAAGGCTGCACCACTGACAACAGGGATGTCTCCCATGCCCACATTTCTACTTCTCACCTGATTCCTGATCTCTGTGTGGCTGCACAGCTATAACACTGAGACAAGGGAAGTATTGCAAATGTGGCCATGAGCCAGCAGAACAGCACTGCTACCATTTTTGGCAGCAGCATGATGCTAGATCAACTTAAGCCACTTGTGAAACTGCAGCTTGAATTAGGAGCCTAAACTGTTTATCTGCTGGAGAGAGACTTCCCCAGAAAGTGATTCAAAGCACAAAATCAACTGTAGGTCCTACATAATCAACGGTCTGAGCAGAAAAAAAATTCAAAAACTAGCAAGGATAACAGATAGCTACTCTGGGTGGTGTATCTAGTGTAGCTTCAACAGAAAACATTAACAACACTGATGTACTCAGAGACAGGAGACAGCAGACATAAAATACCACTCCACAGCTACTGTGTTGCAGAAAAAGGTGTTCTTATATTTCATTTCTAACACATCTAGTAAAAAGGACAGATGAATTATGTGATTAAATTCACAGTAAAAACCAATACTAGTTGCATAAAAAAGGCAATCAGAAATTATTTACCTTCAACACAGTCTGCTGATTCATAAATACCTTTTCTAACCTGGAAATACACTCCCTTAAATTTCTTTACTCATACATTGTTACAGGTTCCCCTACCTTTGCCAAGAAAAATATTATTTACCTATTGCTTTGGTTTCCCTGTTCTATTTTAAAAGGAAGAGGACATCACACACACAAAAAAATAAGTTTTGCCACCTATACTGATTCTGGCAGTACCTCGTGGCTGGCAGTTCAACTGACTAAATGGCTAAATGCAGCAAAATAAAGCATTTAAATGCACGGGTTGAGCAGTCATTCAGAAGCTTAAAGGTTTTCAGTACCCTGGTTTATAGGAGTCCTGCTTATGAGTGTTTTGACAAACAAGAAAAACTAAGCTAACATCACCTGATTCTCTTTCTTACAGAAAGGATTTGGAAACATCGACGGAGAGTACTGGCTGGGACTAGAAAATATTTACATGCTTACTAATCAGGATAATTACAGACTATTAATTGAGTTAGAGGACTGGAGCAACAAGAAAGTCTATGCAGAATACAGCAGCTTCCGCCTGGAGCCTGAAAGTGAGTTCTACAGGCTACGCCTGGGAACCTACCAAGGAAACGCTGGCGATTCCATGATATGGCACAACGGGAAGCAGTTCACAACACTGGATAGAGACAGGGATATGTATTCAGGTAAGGGAACTGGAATGTACATGAAAAATGAGTAGAGTAGGTTCCATTAGCGATACCCTCTTTAACAAAAGAACGTAGTGCAGAAAAAAAAAAAAGTATTATTTTCTAATTAAACAACTCCGGGAGATGCTTCAGATGGATAATGGTAAAAACCATCTTGACCTCCTTTAACAAAAGAACACAGTACAAAAACCAAAGTATTAAGTTCCGATTAAACAATTCTGAAAGATGCTTCAAATGGATAATGGTAAAAACCACCTTGACAGAGCCCCCCTTCAAGCCCCAGCACCATGCAGAAATTCAAATTCTATTACCCTCACTGCAGGCAGATTTATATTTTGCTCAGTGACATCCTTGTCACTTGCATGTGACTCTCTGCAGTCAGGATACTTGTCCAGGTGATTTTTCAGAGTAGTGCTGTGGACACGTAACAATCACCAAGAACTAAAGGCACTGGACAGCATGGAAGGAACTGCAATTGCACACCTGCTTAGTTACATACCAAAAATTAAGAAAAAAAGGCAGATCACTTTGTTTTGTTCTCCTTAAAGGACAAGCTGGTTTTGGTTTTTTTTTTTTATATTTCCATGCTCTTCCTCCAACTCTCCTCTTAAAGCCATAGCAGTAGAAGAAAGGTTGGGGAGTGTAACACTTCAGCTGCTTTTTCTCAGCTGGACAACCACAAAGCTGGATAAATCTTAAGAACTCTTAAACAAGCCTGCAATGGTAAACAAACAACTGTCTGCAGAACCATGGCCCTGAGCACTGCTTGGGACTGTATCAACTCACATTGCTTCCACTGAAGTATAATCTAAACAGTACATAGCCCGAGTTCCTTGAATGTTACCTCACAGACAAGCACTGCTGGTAGTCCAAGAAGAGTTCAACTCCTTATTTTTCAGCTGTCACATTTAACACCATGTTAATCACCCAACCTGCAGGCTATGGTTCCTGTTACAGCAGAATTTATAGTTTACATAGAAGCAGCAATTTATGTGACCACAACAGGCTATGAAGTGCTTCAAAGTTCCCTTTAAAACTGAGCCAAAACATGGAAGTGTGTTAATCTCCACTTTTCCTCCTGAAGGCCAAGGTTCACCTATTTCTCTCTGTTCCACAGGAAACTGTGCTCATTTTCACAAAGGCGGCTGGTGGTACAACGCGTGTGCCCACTCCAACCTGAATGGGGTGTGGTACAGAGGAGGCCACTACAGGAGCAAGTACCAGGATGGAATATTTTGGGCTGAGTACAGGGGAGGTTCCTACTCCTTGAAAGCAGTTCAAATGATGATCAGACCTATAGACTGAGGAGGAGAATCCCACCGTGCTCAAATGATCACGTATAAACTTCTTGGCGCTTGTGTTCAAGAAAAATAAAATATTACTTTTTAATCATTATTTTGCACAATCTGCCCCTGCAAAAAGCAGGTCTACAGTTTTCCTGTCTTTTTTCCCCCCCTATTGTGTTCCCCTTTCCTTTTTTAGAAGCCTTTTCTACTGTGACAGACTGTGTTTTTTTAAACACACATTCACAAAAGCAGATGTTTGTGCTTGCAATGCATATTTATCTTTGTTCAAGTTCATCATACTTTACATAAACAGTCATTAAAGCTGGTAAAAAATTCCAGATATGACAAGATATAAGCTTTTTCACTTAAAAAAGCTTATGCTTTTTCAGGTTAGCTCAATCCTTAAATGTAAATATGTGAAATGACATTGTCTTGCTTTAATGTGAAAATTGATTAGTTATTTAACAATTTATTTAAAAATGTTGGTATTACTTTCAATGAAAATCTGACTTAACATTTCTGTTTAAGATCTACTTCAAGAAGCTACACAAACATTTGAAGGCATGCTAGCTTTGCCAGCAGGGAGAGATTTTTGCAACAAACAATTGTTTGAAAATGAAGTGATGAATTAAACACAAAATATAAAACTTGTTAGTGGTGTAGAGAATTCCTTAAGATCTGCATATTCTACCTTTTGTAAAACACTTGGGTGCAATGCTCCTAATGTAAGAAAACTAAGTGTATGAGACTATTGATAACCTTAATACAACCAAATTGCTTGGTACTTTTTTTACTGTATTCCGACATTTTAATTCTACGAAAGTATTTCTTAATTCTTAGAACTTCCACAGCAAAACAAAAAGTCCTGATACCAAAATCAACTTCACATTTCTAGACCCCTCCCTTGCTCCAATAAGGAATAATGAGTTCTGAGTAAGTGTTTACACTTTAGAGAAAGACCCAGTCTGAATACTGGATTTCCTCCAGCACAGCTTCCTGC